CATCAACGAATGAATGGATAAACAAAATGTACATATGTACGATGGAATACTACTCAGCCAGTAGGAGAAACGAAACCTTGATAAATGCTATGATAGGGATGGAGCTTGAAGACATTATGCTGAGTGAAATAAGTCAATCACAAAAGGACAAATACTGTATAGCCTCACTTATATAGTAAGAACAGGCAAATGTATACAGACCAAAGTTTATTAGTGGTTACCAGGGGCAGGAGGGAGGAGGAAAGGGAGATTACTGCTTATGGAGTACTGAGTTTTGGTTTACAGCGATGGAAAAATTGCATTGATTAAAAGGTAGGGTTGCTTTTAGCTCAGTGGTGAAGCTACCTCTGAGGTTCACTGTTCAGCCTGGGAGTGGACAGCCCAGTAAAACCAAATGAGACTAACGAGGTACAGGACTCCAGTGACAAGGGCCAGAAGGCAGAAGGGGACAAGGAACCTGGTGATACGGAACCCAAGGTTGAGTAAGGATATTGTTGATGTGTTGTGAGATTGTTAACCATTGTCATAGGCCAACATGTGTACTAACTGTTAAATGAGAAACTATTTTGTTCTGTAAGCCTTCATCTTAAGTGACAATAACAGCACAATTGGAAGAGCGTAGTCAATGTCACTGAACTGTGTATGTAGAAATTTTTGAAACAGTGTATCTTTGGCTATGTGTATTTTCACCAAAAAAAAAAGGTTGAGAAGTTAGAGGGTTAATATGTTGTGGGGTTGTTAACCAATGTCATAAGACAACATTTGTACTACTGTTTCATGAGAAACTATTTGTTCTGTAAGCCTTCACCTGAAGTACAATAAAATATAAAAATAAAAAATAAAAAAATAAAAGGTAGGGTTGTACAGCCAATTATAGTAATTGCTGTAAGTTGTAAACTTGTAAAAAATTGAATTGGTAAAACGTGTGTGATAAATATGTTTATAACAATGACCAAAACAAGAAAGAAATTCGGAGTAGCTGCTGAGGCTGATTATATACAACCAAAGTGGATTTGGTTTATTGGTTTAGAGGATGAGAATCATGGTTTCATGGAACATCCCAATCAATTGGCCTAATACAGTGTTTACTGCGTCTGTTCTACCTCCTAGTGCACTGCATAGTTCCTGAGGTCTTAAATGTTTGCAAAAGGCCATACAAAGCACAGTTGGTCTACATTCACCTGGATCAACAGAAGAAGAAAGTCTGGAATAGGAGGAAGATACAGAATGTGTGGCTAATTGCCTCCATGAACAACTGCCTCCTTTGCCATGAGACCAGAAGAACTAGATGGTGCCCAGCTATCCGTACTAAACATTCTGATCAAAGAGTCTGTGGACGAATCCTGATCAAAAGGGGAAAAATGCAGAACAGAATTTCAAATTCTCAACAGATTCAGACTCTCTGGAAACAGGGATGCTGCTTGAACCACTGTAACTATTACCCTGAGATAATCTTTAAACCTTAAACCAAAAATATCCCCTGAAGGCTTTTTAAAACCAAACTATAGTTTAGCTTAAAGGAGCCTTGGTGGCGCAAAGGTTAAGAGCTTGGCTGCTATCCAAAAACTGGCAGTTTAAATCCACCAGCCACTCCTTGGAAACCCTATGGAGCAGTTCTACTCTGTCCTATAGGGTTGCTATGAGTCAGAATCTACTCGATGGCAATGGGTTTTTTTGGTTATAGCTTAGCTTAACTAGTAAAGAATGTCTGCCTTGGGCACTGTGCTCTTTTAAGATCTATCTATATGGGATCAAACTGACAACAGCAACTTGGAAGTTTAGATGGGAAACTTAGGGGGTAGTGAGTTTATGTTAATGGAGGAGAAACAACTCAGAAAAGGAGGGTGAGAACTGTTGTACAACTCAAAGAATGTAATCAATGTCACTGAATTGTAAATGTGGAAATTGTTTAATTGGTGTATGTCCTGCTGGGTATATTCTCAACAAAAAAAAACAAAATAAACTATTAAAAAAAATTTAAATACCATTATAAAAGTTATTTTAAAAAAAATCAAAGAACACCTAAATAAACGGAAGGACATTCTGCGTTCATGGATTGCAAGGCTTAACATTGTTAAGATGTTACACTATCCAAAGCAATCTATAAATTCAATGCATTCCTCATCAAAATTCCAACAGCCTTCTTGACAGAAATGGAAATGCCAATCTTCAAATTTATAAGAAGGGGAAGGGACCCCGAATAGCTAAAGCAATCCTAAGGAAGAGTAAAGTAAGAGGACTCACACTTCCTGACTCCAAAACATACTATAAATTTACAGTAACTAGAACAGCCTGGTACTTATATAATGATAGACATATAAATCCCAAACCAAACCCACTACCTTGAAGTCGATTCTAACTCATAGCAATCCTATAGGACAGAGTAGAACTGCCCTATACAGTTTCCAAGGCTGTAAATCTTTATGGAAGCAGACTGCCACATCTTTCTCCAGTGGAGCAATTGGTGGGTTCAAAGTTATTAGCCATTCTTGTTGTTGTTCTGTACCATCGAGTAGATTCCGACTCACAGTGACCCTATAAGATAGAGTAGAACTGCACCACAGGGTTTCCAAGGGTGTAATCTTTACAGAAGCAGATTGCCATATATTTCTCTTATGGAGCAGCTGGTGGGTTTGAATTGCCGGCCTTTCGGTTAGGATTTGCGCGCTTAACCATTTTGCCAACAGGGCTCCTTTCATTAGCCATTAGGGAAATGCAAATCAAAACCACAATGAGATATCACCTCACCCCCATTAGAATGGCAATGATAAAATAAAAAAAGAAAACACTAGGTGTTGGCGAGGTTGTGGAGAAACAGGAACCCTCATTCATTGCTGGTTGGATTGTTAAGCTGGTACAGCCACTGTGGAAACAGTTTGCAGTTTCTCAAAAAGTTGAACATAGAACTACCATACCATCCAGCAATTCCACTCATAGGTATATACCAAAAAGAACTGAAAGCACTGACATGAACAGACATATGTATGCCAATGTTCACTGCAGCACTATTCACAATAGCCAAATGTAGGAATCAACTGAAATGTCTGTCGACTGATGAATGGATAAACAAAATGTGGTATATACATACAATGCGTATTACTCAGCCATAAAGAGGAACAAAGTCCTGATGCATGCCACAACAGATGAACCTAGAGGACATATGCTGAGCGAAGTAAGTCAGACACAAAAGGATAAATACTGTATGATATCATTTATATGAAATAAGCAAATATATAGAAACCAAAACTAATGGGGAGGGAGGGAAGGGAAAAGTGGGGTTTTTGCTTAGAGTGCATTGAATGTATGTTAATTGTTGTGGGATAATCTGGAAAAAGGTAGCAAGAATGTCTGCACAACTTAAAGCATGTAATTAATGTCACTCTAGTGCACACACAGAAACTGATGAAATGCTGTATGTTTTATTGTATGTATATCACTATAAAAAAAAAAAGGACACAGGAGCCAGTTGAAGGGACTCTCACTTGCCAAACCTGGGACAATTTGAGCATCAAAATAAATAATGGTGATGAGAAAGTTCTTTCTTACAGACGAATGCCAACTAATATGTAAAGAAGCAATGAAGGAATGAGAACATCACCATTTTGTAAACAGCACAGTAATAATTCAAGGAAGAGACATCAATCAATGCTAAAAACTAGTGGGTGACAGTGGGGTGAGGAACAAGACTTTATCTCCCCCTGAAGCACAGGTCAATGTCACAGGACAGCTAAAAGGCTGCAGGAGGACACAGTAGGCTGGTGTGACATTCCTGCCAAAGAGCACTGCCTGGCTGGTGATGGGCAGACTCTAACTGCAGGTGTTCTACAAAAGGATCGGCCTGCCATATTCAAAATGTCATGGTTGCAAAGGGTAGGAGAGAACGGGATGCTATTCCAGACTGAAAGAAATTACAGAGACGTGACAGACGGGGGTAGTGTGTGGTCTGGGGCTGGATCCCCTGCTTTAAGTGTACTACTGAGACAACTGGTCAACCCTGACTGCACTCTCTGGGAGAAGGGTTCACAGGTGTTCTTTGTACTATTCTTGAAACTCTTCTATAGAGATTATTTAAAACCAAAAGAAAGCACGTCAGTTTACAAAATAAAGGACGTAAGAATGATGAAGAAAGGGGACACACAGGTGAATTAGCCCTACCAGCCATACAGAACAACTCATTTCAAGGAAGGCTAACATGCTCATGAAGTAGTGTTTGAATAGGAGTTTCTACTGGCGAGCAGACAGATATGCCATATATGATGAAAAGGGATTTGAGAACATACAAAGACTCTGAAAGTCTGGTAGACAGAATGAGAGATAGAGGGACACAGAGAGAGACAAAACAAATGGATAGCAGGCCTTCTCCTTGAAACAAAGAGATTAATCCAAGCTAAAAATAAGTGTGAGATACAGGTAAAACTCAGTAAGTGAGAATGTGAAAGCAACTATGAGAAGTGGCTGGAACCCAAAGAGAAAAAGACTAAACGCTGCCTCTAAAATAATCATCTATCTCCCTAGCCCAATCTGATGGAACAGACCACGCCTCCAACACCAAGAATTTACTCTTTAAGAGTAAATGTGGATGCACTCAGTTGTCTGAGTTTATGACATTAAACAGTATGAGAGGCTTCTTCATTGTCTCAGAGAGTGCAGCAGCTGGCCAGCACAACCCTTTGTGTTTGTATGGTAGTTACACTTCTCATTGGAAATCCTTAAACGGCATTCTGATTTAAAACGTTAATCTCAGGGAGATTGGCTAATGAGAATCTGCCCTTTTGAGAGACACTTCCTTCCTGTGCTGATAAAATCAAGTTTCTGAGTCTACAGAACTAAAGGTTGAGCCTTAGATCTTGGCAAATACTCCAAGCTAACACTACTCTCTCAGGACTACTGCTAGACCAAGAACTGGCTTCCCTGGTAACAATGAGGCATAGCTGTGACCCTCTTTTTTTTAGAAACTTCAGCAATGCGGAATACTCTTTGAATTTGTGAAATGTAATCACCTGTCTCCAGAAATGACCAGTGGTAGATTTTGGGTCTTGGGAACTGTACGAATAACTCTGAACTCCAGTTGAGAAATCAAATTGGCTCATTTCTTCACTCAGGCTACTGTCTCCCAAATATGATAAGGAAGATATATAACAAGGACCATCTGAAATATAAAGAAAAAGGAAATCTGTTTACTCAAACATAATCAGTAAGAAATATATGTCTCTACATTCAAATGATATTTAAACTAAAGAATACTTTTAACATCAATCCTGTGACCCTCAACCCATTATCCAGACCAACAAAGCCTAAAAGAAACAGGGAAAACACTTCTCTTTGTTTTTGTAATCATCAAGTAGTTATTTGCTACTGTCATGGACAAAGACATTAAGTTAAACTGGATCTAATTTTTAGAGATTATATGATTAACAGAGTTTCTCTGCATTTAAAATTCTGATGGTATACAATATTTTGCCCATAAAGTCTAACACAAATGTGGAACGAAATAACTACTGAAAAATACCAAAAGATGTATGGGATTTAGAAAACTAGTCCAGATTTTATCCTCTAATTGAGAAATGGTGATAAAAGCCATCAAGAAAAATTAAGTAAAAATTGAAACAAGGGATGTAGAGGAAGAGAGGGTAAATTATAAATAGGGTAGTCGAGGAGAGCCTCTTAAAGAGTTTGACATTAAACAGATGTCGTAAGCCTTGCTAATATCCAGGGCCAAGATTATTCTAGGGAGAGGAAACAGCAAGCACAAACGCCCTGCAGCAGAAGGAAGCCTGGGTCAAGGATCAGCTAGGGCTGACGGAGCTGGAGAGGAGTGAGTGGGAAGGAGAGCAGGAGAACAGGAGGCCAGAGAAGCAATCAGCTGGTAAGGAGGGCCTGGCAGCTTTGTGCTGAGGGAGGTAGAAACCACGCTAAGATTTCTATTTTAACCTAGATTTTTGAATGTATCTAAATAATATGCAAACATAGTCCACATGCAAACAGATATCAAGCTAATCTTTCTCATGAACACCTTGCATTTTATAAAAAGTGTAACATGTCTGAGCCCCTCTGCTCACCCTCATATCCCATTCAGATCTTCTTAAGCAGTTAAATTTAGCCAATTACATTTCTTTCAAGATATAATTCCATTTGCCACTTAAAAATAAAACTTTGTTCAAGCTCAATTTCAATGTTTTGGGTTAACATGTTTTCTATCTACATAAAAAAAAAAGAACGTTTCTCATTATTTTGAAAACATCCTACCTGAGTCCCCATTTGCTGCTTCCCTGGCTTCTTTCCTAATTTCAATGTACTTTTTCTTTCTTTCCATAGGGACCTATTAGGCAAAACATATGCACGATTTTAAACGTCTTAAAATCACAGTCACGTTTTTTCTGTTTCAGTAACAATCTGGCAAACGGAAAATAATTCTTAAATAACACTTATATCAAATTTAAAACCTTTCAAAAATATCCACAAAAAAGACACGTGGGTGGTCCTCACAGGACACATCCCCACAGACCCACAGAGGCCAAGGGAGGCACACAGCCCTCCCAGCTCTGGAGGTGGCACTGAGCATAGCATTTGAACTGGACCTCTGAGCCTCAGTTTCTGCAACATAGAGTTGTGGTATATCATAGCACCTCACAGAGCTGTGGTAAAGTTTACAACTAACATATAACAAGTGCTTGGATGCTAAATAAATTAGTGCCATTATTTTTGTTTTCCAGTTCTCTGAACAGATGCTTAGAAAAAAATTCCTAGTCTTCTTTCAAAAGGGCTTAAAGCCGGAAGCACCTACATGTTTGAACCCATGAATCACTGAAGTATGGTCTGGGCCAGCAACCTGAGTGAATGTGAAGAGAGCTGAGCCCCAGAGTGGACAGGTCTTAGGCAGGAGCACTGGCTCCTGGTCAAACTTCCTATTTCCAACAGATCACTTCCTCACCAACCCTCATGTCTGCCAGAGTGACTCCTCTATGCACTCCGTTCCTTCTGCTCACAGCACCCCGCTATCCCTGAGCACCACCAGGGCCACAGGCCAGGGTTCTGTACCAGGAGGCGATCAGCTTCTTTGACCAGAGGGATTTAATTAGAAACAACTTCTGGGATATATCCTGACTGCTCCTTTTGTTGAGATTTGCTTCCTTGTACAGGTCAAGAGTGCAAAACATTGAGTTCTGATGAATTTGGTTGTAGCTATCTGAGATTTTACCTCAGGGCTAACTAATGAAACTGTCAAGTTTTGTAGTTCAAACTTAAATATCAGCAATTTAATATGTTCAACATAATGGGTACTTCCCTCTACAGTGACCTGATAAATTTTTTTAGTTAAGGAACACTGAAAATTTTTACTCACCTCCACTTCTACAGGAAATGTATAGCAGCGATTCAGATCTATCAGATTTTCAAAAATAAGCAAGTTCTGTAAATCCAAAGAATCATATAAAAACATCTGAATGGTAGAACACCCTTATTAGCTGATGTTATCATACAATTAATGCTACTTAGTAACTCACAGAGAAGCACTTCAGCTTTAAAATATATATAAAACCAAATCAAGCCCACTGCCGCTGAGCCAATTCTGACTCATAGAGACCCTACAGGACAGAGTAGAACTGCCCCATAGGACTTCCAAGGAGCAGCTGCTGGATTCGAACTGCCAACGTTTTGGTTAGCAGCCAAGTTCTTAATTACTGCACCACCAGGATTCCAAAATATATATAGATATATAAATATAATTTTTATACGTATATATATGTGTATGTATATATGTATATATAAGGACCCTTGGTGGTGCAATGGTTTAGTGCTTGGCTGTTAACTGAAAGGTTAGTGGTTCGAACCCACCAGCCACTCTGCAGGAGAAAAGAGCTGGCAATCTGCCCCCATAAAGATTATAGCCTAGGAGAAACCCTATGGGGCAATTCTACTCTGGGCTAACTAATGAAACTGACTCAGAATTGACTCGATGGCACACAAAAACAACTATATATATATTTAATATATATATTATATAATTATATATATATATATTATATATATATTATACATATATATATACACACACACACACACCCTGGTGGTGTAGTGGTTAAGAGCTATGGCTGCTAACCAAAAGGTCTGCGGTTTGAATCCACCAGGCACTCCTTGGAAACTCTATGGGACAGTTCTACTCTGTCCTATAGGGTGGCTATGAATTTGAATCGACTCGACAGCAACGGGTTTGTGGGTTTTTATATATATATATAT